GTTTGACCAATTCGTAAAAAAAACAACAAAAAAAACAAACAAAAAAACAAAACAAAAAACTGATCAAGACATGTGTGTCCGTCAACCTTAAACAATAATCTTTATCAAATTTATTTTTCAGTCTTTATGATGGTCAATACTTGATCTCTCTCTTACTGTTACATCCCCGGGCAACGCCGGGCTCTACTGCTAGTCAGTAATATATCCTGGTAGGTTTTCTCGATCTCTTGCGATTGCCTCGGTGAAGAAACGCATCTTTGTCTTACGCCTTTTTCTATGTTAGTATTCTTATTCATTTTCTATTAGTGTTCAGGCAATTTACTTCCAATTAGTATTCTGGATTATTCTAAATGTTGCCGAATATTTAGAGACTACGGCAAACATGGACAACATTGGTTATGAGCGCAGTGGAAGCGTGCTGGGCCCATAACCAATGCTGACCACGTTTGCCGTAGTCTCTGAATATGGAATCCGGTGAAGTCCGTAATCTCTTCAATATTAGAGGTTGGCAGTGTAGATTAATATAAAGTAGCGTCTGTTAAGTAATTCTTTAAGTCTTCCATATCAGGTTGGCAGTGAAGATATTTTGGGGAGAAAAAACAAAATGGCTGCATTTATACACGTCGGATTGAATATTTTGAGCTTTCTGATTGGTTATCCCTTCTATCGGTGAACTATAAAATGTATCAGCTCATTTTGGTTGGATCACTAGTATTTACAGAGTACCCAAAAATTCCAACACTAAATCTTTCCAATATAAATTAATTTTTTCTAGTTGATCAAATAGTTCTTTATGTCTGGCAAGATAAATTATTGCTAGTGTGGTTAGTGTAACATTGTGTGAAACGGAGGTGTAAAATTTAAAGGCTGGGACAAAAGTTATCATAATCCACAAAAATACAACAAAGAAAAAAAACAGACACAGAAGTAGTTGAAAAAATTTCTGAAAAGTTATATATTTGATAGGATCATTTGATGCTTAAAATCAGCAAAAAATATGAAAAAGATGAGAGATATTGCGGTGCTTTTTGATTAGCCCGTGAAATGACGAATCAGCAATTACTAGGAGACGCAATTTCCCAGATAAAGCGGAGTATCCTCCTCCAAAATTCTCCCATGACAATCTTCGCCGCTTAGGGCATGTGTCTGCAATATTAGGATATGGGAGTTACTCTCAATCATTATACCCTCTACTTTACGGATAAGTAGTCGGCAAAATGTCTCGACTGTAAAAAATAAAAGTAGCCAATACAGAGTATATGCACTATGATATTAATTACAAGAAAACCATTTTCCTGATGTAAAGATGGCTCATTTTATTTTCAGTATGAATCACAGACAGTACGACTTTGTGTATTAGCCAGAAGAGATACGTGGAGATTAACACAAGGACACAGACAAGACAGCCCACCGAGGAATAACAATGGTAACCGCTAAATAGCAGTTCGAGCCACATTTGATGGCGTGACGATGTTACATTAGATCAGTTCTGTCTGTTTGTACAGCTGTTATTGATCGTACGCCAGAATAAATAAAGATTAATTAAGAGCGTTTCCTTGTACTCCTCTCCAGGCAGTGAAGTTTCGTGAGCGAGTAGGGAATCTTATTAGCCTGTGTAGTAAATTCAGTCTCCACAGGACGTCTGAATGCACAGGAATAAACAGAGATTGATTACAAACTACTCCTCACTCGCTTGTACTCCTTACAGTGAAGCGATGTTAGCCAGCGAGTCGAGCAATGTATTCGTCTGTGTAGTAATTCAATTCTTTGCCGAATCTCTGACGGTCCCAGACTAAAGTAAGTTTACTAAAATATCCAATCAACAACCCAGCTATAAAGAACGAACTCGTTATCAATGGATAAGCAGACTGGCTCGCCCGCCTCTCCATCTTCTTCGAATAACCGCAGTGAAGAGATTTAAATATACGACTAATACTTCAGGACGCGTCTCAGACACATTGAAGAAGGCGTATCAAATTGACTTATTGACTCTGGCAATGCTGACTTTCAAAGTTTGTAAGCTACGAGAAAGCAAAGATCGATCGAAAAATCAATTAAAGTCGAAAATTATTTTTTCCGGGATCGAAATATCTTTGATCGATTTTATTTTAAAGTCGTCTTTGATAACGAACACACACAAAAAAAAACATTTTTTTTCAATATATTGGTAAGCAGTTTATTTAATTTTGTTTTATGATTTAATTACAACTTGAGGAAATCTTGTTCTATTCCTAGAAAGGAAGAGATTCAGCTTTCGAAAACCTAAGCTACACTACTTCGTCAATAAGTAATGGTTAATGAGCTTCTCGGAATTATTTTTTCCGTTTAATAGTTCTGGGGAAATTGCGATAAACCTTCGAAAATATGCTAAGAAAATGTTTTTGTAACGACTTCTGAATAATTACACATGCAGCAGTCTTTCTTTCTTTTCTCTCACTATGTGCTATTTTCTTTCAGGTTGTAAACGATCCTTACTTTCTACAACTTTCTGCTTTTTGATGCCATTTTTATCTCAGAATCATCAAGTATTTTATTGGCATTTCTTCTGCTTCTTTTGCATTCGCTATATTCCTTGGGTGTATTTTGGAATCTGAAAATGAGGTTAGCTCTTTGTATTAGATTATTAACTCAATTCTTTACCTAAAATATTTTTCCATAAAGAATTAAATAATAGAAAACAAACACCCATCAATAACAGGGACACTAATGACGGGTACACTAATTCCATAGTCGACAAGCAAAGCAAATTTCATTTTACCCTGCTTTAGTCACATGCGATGTTTTGTTACCCCTAAATTTTGGCACTTAGTTCCTAGTTAGTTTATTTATTTATATGCCTGTTACTACTCTCCTCAATCAATGAGGTGTGTAGCACGCAGTGTTTGTATTTGTATTTAAAAAAAACAGGGATAACATTCATCGAGTGATTTGTAGGTTAATGCATGTTTATAATTTTTGTTAGCAAAGGAATTTCGCCATTTTATATCATTAACTTTACTAATTTACTTTTTGTATGAATGAATCATTGTAATATATATATATATATATATATATATATATATATATATATATATATATATATATATATATATATACATAAATATATGCATATGCACAAATATTTATATATATGTACATACACACAAATATATATATATATATATATATATATAAATATATATATATATATATATATATATATATATATATATACACACATATATATATATATGTGTGAAGAACATTTTTCATATCAATAAAAATATAAGGACATTATTGTACTATTCAGTATTCTCAACTTATCCACAGTAAATATGTTTTAAGATCTACCAGTGGATGCCTAAAACCATGAATAATATCAAACCCTACATATAATATGTTATATATATATGTATATATATATATATATATATATATATATATATATATATGTGTGTGTGTGTGTGTGTGTGTGTGTGTGTGTGAAGAACTATAGCTTTAAGGTGAGTTATATTTATGGGATAAAGTGCTCAATATCAGAGATATTTCAAATATAATAGTGAACATTGAAAATCAACACTTAGAGGCGACAGGCTGTTTAATGCTAGACGCAATCGTCAGGACATATATATATATATATATATATATATATATATATATATATATATATATATATATATATAACTTTATTTGTATTTGTGATAGAAATAATCTGTAAAAATGTTATAATACAGTGATTCAACAAGATGGAGCTCCTTGTCACTTGGCTCGACGTGTTAGAGAATTTCTAAATCATGAATTTCCTAACAGATGGATCGGAAAGGGTGGACTATTTTATTGGCCTCCACGTCTGCCAGATTTGACTCTATTAGATTTTATTTTATGGGGACATGTGAAAACAATTATGTATGCAATCAAATCTAGTTCATTAGAAAATTTGAAAGATGAAATAACTGATGTGATTCCAGACATTACTGTAAATCAGTTGGCAAATGTTTTCCGTGAACTGCAAAATCGTATTACCCTTTGTATTGCTAATGATGGCGGACATGTGAAACTTAAATATAAGCATCAGTCCACGAACTTGAAGCCTTTTTCCTTATCTACACCATCTGTCATTTTTTCTTATCTTTTATCTCAGCAAATATCAGAGGGACACGTATAAACACTTTATTAAACACACGCGACTTGATGCTACATGTGATATCCACCTGATTCGCGAAGTCGATCCCTCAGTGTTCGTATTAATAATTTTTCTTCGTTTTCTTATATAGCTTATTATTTTTCTTTATTTTTGGGCAGACGTACGCGATATGTTTTATCCTTAACTAAATGGTTCTGCATTATGCGACTCATTTTTTAAAATATTACTCGCTAAAAAATTTAAATCTTTAGATTGAACAATTATTATTGGAAAAATACAACAGTTTTCATAAAATCAGTGTCATTAATTTATGCAAATTAAATATTTTCGACAATAAAATAAAATAGTTTAAAACATGAAAAAGAAAAAAACCTCCATAAATTTGGTTTGTTCTCTTACATCGATCTTGGAAAAAATTCTAAGCCAGGTTTATGGATTTTTAATAGCTTCTGTTGTTAATTGCAGGAACGAAAATTGATGGTCAAAAGCTAACTGGAAATTTTTCAAAAAAATGAAAGATCAATTAATCAGCGAAATGTATTTACGGCTTTTAAGATTGAAAGAATAAACACATTGGAATGTGGAATAACTAACTTCGCGAATGATAATAAACGCGCTTATATATATTAAAAGTAAGAAAATTTAGAATAATGGATAAATTGTCGTATTTTTAGAATGAAAAAATACTGGTTGTAGTGATCAGAATATAAGAATAAAGAATTAGTTATTTCTTGAATGAAGGATTAGTTACTTCTTGTCTGCTCAGGTTAAATTCGCTCTGGTTAAATAATCTAAAAAAATGTGTCATGAGGAACGTGAAATAAAATGGAATTTATTTTTTTCAATATCGAATTAAGCAACTGAATTTAAGTCGAATATGAAAATAGAACGTTCTCGATTTCCTTCTCCTTCTCCTCTCTCTATCTCCACCCTCTCTTTCCCGCTGCCTCTCACACTATCATCCTCTCTCTTTCACTCACTCTATCTATCTCACCCTCTCTCTCTTTCCCTCTCATCCTCCGACTCCCTCTCTCTAACTCCCCACTCTCTTTTCCTCAGCTTCTCACTCTATTACCCCTCTCTCTTCCACTCACTCTATCTAGCTCACCCTCTCTCTCTTTCCTTCTCATTCTCCCTCTCCCTCTTTCTAACTCCCCACTCTCTTTTCCTCAGCTTCTCACTCTATTACCCCTCTCTCTTTCACTCATTTTATCTATCTCACCCTCTCTCTCTTTCCCTCTTATCCTCGGACTCCCTCTTTCTAACTCCCCACTCTCTTTTCCTCAGCTTCTCACTGTGTTACCCCTCTCTCTTTCACTCACTCTATCTATCTCACCTCTCTCTCTTTCCCTTTCATTCTCCCTCTCCCTCTTTCTAACTCCCCCACTCTCTTTTCCTCAGCTTCTCACTCTATTACCCTCTCTCTTTCACACTGTCTCTCCCCCTCTCTTTCCATCTCCTTCTCCCTCTCCATCTCTCTCTTTTCCTCTGCCTCTCTCGCTATCATCCCTTTCTCTTTCATTCTCTCTCTATCAACCCTTTCTCTCTTTCTTTTTCCTTCTCCCTCTCTCTATCTCCTCACTCCCTTTCCCACTGCCTCTCTTTCTATCACCTCTATCTCTTTCACTCTCTCTCTATCTCCACTCTCTCTTTCCCCTTTCCCTCTCCTTCTCTCTATTTCTTCTGTATCATTCGCCCTCTCTTTATCTCTTCTCTCTCTCCCTTTCCTAAGGCTAAATAAGTGAAAAGATTGGGAAGTTAAACTGAATTTTAAAAATGGAAAAATACTATAGAATGTGTGTATTTTTATATTATTCAATTTGCACACACACACACACACGGGCGCGCACGCATGCGCATATAGCCCGAACTGACTATTCCTTCATCTTTACGTTCTCTTCCCTGCAAGTCGCCATTTCCTTCATTCTCAATATATATATATATATATATATATATATATATATATATATATATATTTTGATTCATTATTCAAATTATGTTAGTTTTCCGAAAACTGGTTTCCCGAGTAATTTTATTTTGAAATTTCGCACTGAATATTGGATAAATCTGGAATAACGGATGAGAAGCATGGAATAAGTGAGGAGATGGGAACAATTTTTTTTTCTTCTCTTTTTTTTTCAGATTGAAAACAGCTGCTCTATAACCAGAATATATAATGAGATCTCCAGAATCAATGGTAGCTTTGCCAAGTTTGAACCGAAAAGAAGGACCAAAAAAATTGTCGAATTTAGAAACAATATCAGCTGCTATAAATATAACAATCTAATAACAAAATCACATATATTTAAATAGATAGCTAATAGATAAAGAAAAGTTCACGACTTATCTGCCCAACTTATAAAGTTTTGGATATATATATCGATCGCCAGGGTCAAATAAGTATATTATAACGTAATATAATATAATCGATTTATCTGACCCCTTCATTGTATCTTCGAAGTCAGATGAATCAGATTTTCAAAATCTATTTCATCTTTTAAATACTGCTCATCGATTTTTTAATATTGTTTACAAAAATCTGCACGTCCTTAAACGCGTTAAACTCTAGTAACACAGATGACACGGTACAGTACAGTACTGATAGCAGACATGGAAAGGAAACTACAAAACCTCCTACAGAAGGTAACGAAGGAGAGACAGAAGAAGGGACTAAGCATAAAATACAAGAAGACAGAATGCATAGTCATCAGTAAAAGGATGAGCCCGAAATGAGATTTACAGATCGGGGACACGAAAATCAAGCAGATGCAGAAATTTAAATATCTACGAAGTGTTTTGACAGAGCACGGCAAGTGCGACGCTGAGATCCGAAGACGTATTGGGATGGCCATAGACATATTCCAAAAGCTAGGCAGAGAATTGAAAAACAGGAGGATTTCTTTGGTAACGAAGAAACGAATACTAAGCTGCTAGGTGACATCTGTCCTCCTTTACGGCAGCGAATGTTGGACGGTCTCCTCGAAGATGAAGAAAAGACTCGAGGCAACGGAGGTATGGCTCTACAGAAGGATGATAAGGATATCATGGGCCGCGCGTGTGAGCAACGATGAGATTTTGGAAAGGATGCAAACAAGGCGGAAGCTTATACTTAACATAAGGAAGAAATTTATGGGACATGCAATGAGAAATGAGGGCCTGGATAATCTGATACTCACAGGTCGAATAAAGGGAAAAAGAGACAAGGGAAAGCAATGCATGACATAAAGGCTTAAGCAAGTGGAAGACAGAACATGGCCTGGGGGGAAGTACCAAAGAGACAAACTTCATTAAGAACTACAAGGGATAGAGGGAAGTGGAGAACTATGATTGCCTACGTCCTGAAGGGACACGGCACATAAAATGAAAGAATTTACTGGACTAGTTGTTTTATTAGGCGTTATCGACTCAGTATTATTATTATTATTATTATTATTATTATTATTATTATATTTCCTTTGATTTCTGGTGTGTACACATTTCTTTCCGGGTGACACCACGACATTTTCCACTGACCAATTAAAAAGAAAAGAAAAAGAAAACCCAAAAACCTATTTTACGTAGATAAAGCCCTTCGTAAGGTGTGGGCTATACTTGTGAGAAATTATTATTATTATTATTATTATTATTATTATTATTATTTTCTTTGATTTCTGGCGTTTACATATTTCTTTCCGGGTCCCGCCCAGGGACCTAAGGTTAGAAATGGCATCATGACACTTTCCACTGACAAAAAAAAAAAAAAAAAAAAACTTACATAGATAAAGCCCTTTGTAAAGTGTGGGCTGTACTTGTCAGAACAATTTTTTGTATCTCCTTGAGGCATGGACTTCCATGAATCCCTTCAATTAGTCTACTGCAATCTTTTCCAACCAGTCCTAGGGCTCCAACTACAACAGGGATTGTTGATGTTCCCATATGCCACATTTTCGAGATTTCTATTTCAAGGTCCTTGTATTTTGACAGTTTTTTGAATATCTTCAAAGATACATTGCAGTCAGCAGGGACTGCCATATCAATAAGGAGGCACCGTTTTTGTTTGTGGTCTTTAATAACAATATCTGAGCGGTTGGCCTTGATTGTTCTGTCAGTGTGTATTGTGTAGTCCCATAGAATTGTAACAGGTCCTATCTCCGTAACCGGGTCTGGGTGGTGTTCATACCAGTTTCTTTCAGTTTCCTTCCCGTAGAAGTTGCAGATTTTCCAGTGCAAATATTGGCCCACTCTGTCATGTCGGGTTTTATATTCAGTGGGTCCCAACATCGTGCAACCTGATACAAGATGATCAATCGTTTCTGGATATTTATCACAGAATCAGCATTTTGGGCTGACACAATATTTTAGTATATGTGCTTGATAATTCCTAGTTAGCAAGCAAGGATAAAACCTTCAGTTTCCGCTTTCAACCCTGCACAACGTAGCCACTGATGGGTACGGGTTTTGTCTACGTCAGCTTGTTTGGTACGGGCAGAGTATTGGCCATGAAGAGGTTTATCTTGCCATCGCTTCTGTATCTGGTCGGTTGCATTCGTCTTTGTTGTCTTTTTTAAGTATTTTGCAGTTTCAGCCGGTGTATTGTGCTGTATTTGCATCTCTACGCCCATTTAATACTCCATTTTCAATTTGTTGGCTTCTTTCATTACGGAGTAAAGACGCTTACTACTTTCATGTTCCTTGACACATACTATCATCCAGTCTTCTGTAGTTTCCAAGTATCTTTGGAGGCCAATTGTTGTAGTTTTGTAGGACAGTTCTAGTTGAACTAATCCTCTGCCTCCTTCGGATCTGGGCACATACAGACGATCAACATCAGCTTTGGGATGATGCATGCGATAGCAAGTGAGAAGCTTTCTCGTTTTGGCGTCCATTCGCTTAATTTCAGCTATGGTCCAGTTAAGGACATTAAAGCTGTATTGCACCACAGGGACAGCCAATGTGTTTATGGCTGATATCCTGTTTTTTGAGTTTAGCTCAGTATTTAGTACCAGACGTACACGCCTGTATTACTCTTTTCTCATTTTTTTCCTTAATTTGGGGGTGTTGTATGCCATCTCCTTCGCTAATTCCTAGGTACTTATAAGCTTCATCATGCTATTATTGTTATTATTATTATTATTATTATTATTATGTTTTGCCTTTGTTTTGTGTAGTACAAGTTGCCTCCATGTTTAATCCCTAGACGTCAGAAAACAAAGGTTTTTGTATCAGAATATGAAAATAGATCAGATGTCATGCAATTAGAAAAAAGATTATAATTGTGGTCATCTACGAAAGATGAGAGATATACTAATGAAGATGATTTCTTTATGGTCCACCTATTTTAGTGCTACAAGCAATTTGATGCACGTTTTCTCTTTTTGATATTACTCCTAATGCCCATGTAAAAACCGTTAATGTTTTCTTGAAATGTTGCATTCTACTGATTTCTATCTCAAGGTAGAATTTACTTAGGTCTTTTTTAAAAAGTTACATTCTGCTGTAATCTCTATCAGAAGACTTGTGTTCAGCATTATTTTTCACAGTTATATCGATTCGATTTGTGTAGATATCTCTCTCAGAAGATAGCAACCTCTTCATTCTGTACAACTTGTGGCGGTTTATTCCCCTTTTGACGAAGGTTGTATGCTCGGCATACGAGCGTGGACTGAGATTTTTATAGGCTGACTAGTGATGCTAGAGCTGTGAAATATTGCATGCATTCATTTCAGCGCTTCTTATTAATAGCTGCATTGTTTCATTGCAGGTAAACTGCCGTCTAGCTCTGCTCACTTTTGGGAATCCTTTGCGACCTCTTGCTTTCATGTCAACAATGATCTTCAAAATATTAAATGCAATATTAATCCTCATCTTCTATGTCCTTAAACCCGGGTCTTTTAATACCCTCTCCCACTTCAAAGTTTGATTTTTCAGTTTCATTCACTGTCGATAATCCCTTGCGTCTTATTGACTTTATCCCCTTGCTTTGCGGAAAATGATTTTAAAAATATATACGTGAGAACAACATGCGTTATTGCAATGAATTGCCTGCCATTGGTATCATTAGAGCTGATATTCACCCTTGTTCAAATTAATTGAAACAAAACGAATAATCCCGTTATTATTTAATTTTCTTCGTATTTTTCCAATTAAACATGACACGGCCCACATGTTAGTTCATTCCACGAAGTCGTTCTTTGACCACAGATTCTCGATTAGATTTAAATCAGGAGAGTTTCAGGGCCAGTCTATAGTACTTTGATTTGCTAATTGATAAGGCTTGCCAGTGTGTTTGGGCAGTGTTACAATTTTCGTACAGTTTCACGGAGTAACTTTCATCGCAGACAATGGCCGTAGGACAACTAATCAACAGTCGAGGCAATAGTTTTAGGGTGTAATATAAATCTGATGCAATCATAGATGACGCAATATTTTTCAAAGCCAAACAAATTTCATCATACACTCCAAGAATAAATTCATATTACTGCACATCACTGCAAATGTACTAAACTGAGGAAAAAATAGAAACCTATTACACCCTGTCTCTCTTGTGGGTCTTAAACTGAACGTATGGTGAAAGGAAGCACACTAAATCGGTTGTTTCAATTAATTTGCAAAGGGGCGTAACTCCAGACGATAACGTTTTTTGCCGCAATGCATAACTGCTGAGACCAATGGCATTTCTTGTACACCTCACCAGGATGTCGACGAAATTGTTGGATGCCACGAAACCCTAATAGGTTGATATTTATTTAATTTGATCACAGTTTGCTGTCCCAAAACATTGATTTTTTTTTTACCTTTATTCTCCTGTGCAACATTAAATGTTTCTGTGCGTCCAATTCATTAGCAATTTCCTACGCGGTTGTCAGCCATGTTATCATATCTTGTTCGAGGAACGACTGATTGTTATAATCGAAGCATTCACAGCACGCACTTTTTTTCTGCATCATTAGCAACATCGGTAACCGGTTTTCCTGGGGTTTTACATTCAGCTGTTCTCAGGCATAACGAATAATCTTGAGGTCACCATGTATATTTGACCATGTCCCTACTGTAGACCGCCGACTTTTTTTTCTATTTTTGTTCCAATTTTGAACAATTTGACAAGATAATTTTTTCTTAGAAGCATTCTTGTATCTATTTCGGGTAGCCATTGTTCGGTTGTGAATAGATAATGCGTTCTCTTAAAATCCTAGCAGAGAACCACGTATCCATTCTTTTCAATATACTTTGATAACTGTCTATATTTCTGAGATGAGGTATTATGTACATTATTTACCTTATTCAGACTATTGTCCTCATCTTCGTCGTCATGTTTATTACAATGTTTCGGGCTTTCAGTATCTCTCTATATTTCTGAGATGAGGTATTATGCACATATATTTACATTATTCGGACTATTGTCCTCATCTTTGTCGCCATATTTATTACAACATTTGGGCCGTTGTACGCTCCGGACTTCTTCAAGTGGTTGGACACATGCCAATTAGATAAAGGCGTTAGTTAGATCCAGTGACAGGACCCAAAGAGTGTGAGTTCAATACCCGGTTAAGGCAGTGGAGAACTTTCAAATGGAAATTAACAGGAGTTAACTGATAAGTGATACCCATTAAACATGGCACGTGGAACTAAAACAGTCTACCCCAGTGAGCGAAATAAAGGGTTCAGTTCGACATTCCAACCACCTGAAGAAGGTCGGAGCGTACAACGGCCGAAACGATGTAATAAATATGACGACGAAGATGAGGACAATAGTTCGAATAATGTAAAGAATATACTTTGATAACCTAAAAACTATTACCTAAATTGCTTACAAGTTAAAAAAAATAAAATTTGGTTTGAAAATATGCTTACTATATAGAATGAAATAAACCTCTTTCTCTTCATCAGTAGATAAATGAGGAGTTGGTTGAAAAAATCGTGTGAAGAGACTTGACCCAAGGGTTGTCAATTCAGTGCCTGGCCACAGCAGAAGGGGACAAAAACTTGAAGAGTTTTGTTACTAAAGGGAAAGAACTAATACTGAAACTGAGATAACAAGAAGAGGTATGGCGTGTGGAACTAGGACATTCTACCCCACTGTTCGAAATAAAGGGTTTGCTTCGACATTCCAATCACCTGAAGAAGTTCGTACAACGACCGAAACATCATCAATGTGAAACAAAGATTAAAACAACAGTCTGGACAATGTAAATAATGTAAATAGTTACAATACCTCATCTCAGAAATATAAACATACGTTTTTTTTGGTTTTTTTTGGACTGGTACATAATCATATTTTGCTAACAGTGTTTCAGAGACTGGTAATGGCGAATGGCCAATAATATATGTTTTGATTGCATGATGTTCTGCTAGAGATAATAAAATCCTAGTCTATTTGGAATCAACGACCACGTGTTAGTAGTCACGGCGTGCCTTCATGTTGGGGGATATCGGATGTCGTCCGACCTGAAGAGGGATAGGCTCCACCAGGTTTAATTGTTCAAGCCTTACTATGAATACTTCAACGGCTTTCATATCAGGTTGTGGAGAGAAGCGGTTAGGAGCTCATTTGCATGCGAACCTACATCTACATCCGGTCATGTTAAGACTGATGATGATGATGATAATGATGGTATCAGTAACTATTTGTTAAAGAATTTTTATGTACTTATTAATGGCGAATACTATGTACACATACACATACATCTAAATATCATATAATAATTACCGTTGTGCATTTATATCTTTCATGTCACACCTTGAAATGGGAAAAGAGTAAATCAACTTAAGACTTCTTTTAGATGAATTTATTGTCTCCAGTGTTTAGCACTGGAATCGATGCTGAATTTCTACACAAGACCACCTACATGAAAGTGCAATAAAACAAAGACATATCTTTGTTTAAAGAAGGTGCAAAATATTTTCTTAACTGCCAATCTTTACTTAATAACCTGTCAGTTTAAAGACTACGAGATTTACGAGCAGCTATAGTATCTCACAAAATAAAATAAAAATCCAATCAGTTCCTCTACTGCATTACACGAAAACGTTGATAGCAATTGTTTTCTTTTCATTCAGCATGCATCTTCTTCTTCTATGTGTCGTGTCCTTTCACGACTTGAGCAATAATGGCAATTTCCTATCCTTTGCAATTCTGAGTAAGGTTTTTTTTTTTTTTTTTTACTTTGGCTATATTCCTTGTTCTGGCAACCATTTACACAAGATCGCTAGGTACGTTATTCACTTCTTCCTTCCGTCACTCATGCCTCTAGTATGCCCTGTAAGTCTCATAGTCTCCAAATCGTCTTTCCTCATCATGTGCCCTAGAAATTAGAACTGTACTTTTCTGAGTGTCTTTTTTCTTAATATTTTCCTTAAAACTTACACATCTGTTCAGCCCATGATATTCTAGTATGTTTTTGTAGCGATATGCATATAACTCTCTCCATGGTTTCTGCAATCATCTTTAAACTGGATTCCCATGTAGCAAATAGACTTGATATTATCTCTCTAATAGTCCTTGAGAAAGGCACTCCTCAACTGGAATCTGAACTCTACAATAAATGCCTTCCTGTTTGTTGTTTTTCTACCTCTTGGAAATATTCTTCTGCAGATCCAGACTTTAGGAGCTCAAGAGATCCATCTAATTCTTCGATCAATCGGTCTAGTAGGTTTCTACCTCATTTTAGCAAAGATCTAGAGGCTCTTATCAATGTTAGCCTCCAGGAATGTGACATTGTGCCTTCCCGGGAGAAAAGTTTTCTGTTGATATGAAGTGGAAAGATTATATTAAATCAATTGCTAAAGCAGATGTTTGGTGATTTGGTTCAATGTGGCGTGCTAGAAATTTTTCTCGCCAGAATATACCTTAAACATTTATAAGTCTACCAGTCGTTCATATACTGAATATTTCTGCCACATTTAGTTCGAGGCTTCTGATATGTAACACAGAAAGAAAAATAAGCAATGTTATTGGTTCTGACCTGGCATTTCGGCTTCAGTCACTTCCCCAACGCCCTAAAGTAGTTTCCCTATACATTTTCTATAAATATTTTTATCGTAATTGTTCTGATAAACTTTCCTCTTTGGTAAGTCGTCTTTAAAAATTTGAGCTCCATACTGGCAGTTAAGTTTCATTATTTTACAGTTGAAATGGCTAGATGTAACCGTAAGTTCTATGCTAACAGTTTCTTCTTACTTGTGGGATTCTCTTCCGGCTTCTTGCTTCCAGTCAACTTTCATCTTCAAAAATCTAAATGTAAAGTCAGTCGTTATCTTCTATCTTCTTAATTCCTATTCTTTTATTGTCCTCTCACCTTAATAGTAGATTTCTTTTTCCATATTCTTTAACATCCAGTAACCCCTTGCGTCTTAGTAACTTTATTGCTTTACTTGGGGTGAATTGATTAAAAAAAGAAAAGACAAAATACAGTTTTGCAAGGTTCTATTAGTCTGTTAGTTTAACGATACGATTTCTTAACCGATCTTTTCGCCTGCTTTTAAAATTTAAACTTCGCGGTATTGAATTAAAACAAATGGATCTTTTGGAGATAGCAGTACTGCAACCTTGTATCGAGGTACCTCTGAAACAGTTAGATTAACCCAATTGTTTATTTAGCCAATATTTCCCATTTGCGATCCTCTGACAGCATCTATTTACCCCTCGATTTCACATCGTTTTTCTGACCCCAAGCAAAATTAATATCTTTTAATTGTATTTGAGATATTCATTCTACAATATATATACACCTTCCTGGGGCATTCCAAAGTGATTCAGTGTTTATAAAGCCTGTTTTACTAGTTCAATTATGACTGATTAGTGAGTTTGACCCTCACTGTGGGCTTCATACATACGGCTTTGTTCCACATCCAAGCCGCCATTAGAAAAAACACTATATCCACCTTCCCGTTTAAGGAGGGCATCCCGATAAAAAAGAAAAATATTAAATAATTTTTTTCCCATATTAAAAGGTCAAATGAGTTTTATTAACTGAAGACAGCAAGCCTGTCTGTCTGTTTAATTTATTTATCTTCATCCATTCCCTATTTCATTTTCAGTCGCTCATGTTTTTCTTTCGCTTTCTTACTTATTCTCTACCTTTGCAAATTCACACATTCTTTCATCTTCCATCGAAAAGTCTGTTTTAACCAAAAGCTTTTGGGGAGAGCGCAAATCTGATGGCACATTCCACTTTTGTCACCAGGGTTTTCTTGCTTAATGGTCATAGAATAAATGAAAAAACAAGTCAAGTTGAAAGAGAAACTAGTCAAAACATTAATAAAAATTATTAATCGACTTAAAATTAAAACAGTAAGTCTACTCTCTGTGGTAGACCTATGACCTGAGTAAATTGCAATAAAACACTAGGACAATGAAAAAATGCTTCTATATACTAATTTCTGAATTTTCCACTGTAAATTTATGTTCAGGGTTATGCATCATAGTACCTTTTTTTGATTATCTATCTATCTATCTATCTATCTATCTATCTATCTATCTATCTAAATCTCTTCATATGTCTCTGTATGTCTATCTGCCTGTCTATCTATCTATATATCTAAGCCTGTCTGTATCTATCTAAATCCCTTCATATGCCTCTGTCTGTCTATCTATCTATCTATATATCAAAGCGAAAAATCACAACAGGCTTCTCTACTTGCTTTATTTATTGCCTCCTTACCTCGCTCTTGCTGAGCTTCGCAATACCACACTCTTTGGTAACTCGAACCACTCTATGGAAGATATTGATATTTCGTTGCAATTAAACAGGAACTCTCTATCCATAAGACCTTTTTCCGTTAGCAACATGCACTTCATGATTTTAGTCGTGGCGTTCCTTTTCTTTAATCTTCCAATTGAAAATTCCGCTTCTGAAGCTTCTTCTTGGGCCATAGCCGGGATGGACGCTTTCATCCTTCATCTTTTTTTCTGAAATACCAGGCCAAGTCCTCTCCCTGGTTCACAGCACCATGCTCGGCCGCTATAGCACGCAGGAACCATTCGCATCACAACAGGCGCCTATTTGTTAATGCTCGTAATAAATATAAGCGAGTCCTCGAAGGAGTTAACTTCCTGTTTGGCGAGAGAATGGAACACCGTATAGCCTCTGACAACTTTGGCTCTCGTGATTACTGGCAGGTGTAAGGTGTCTATTCTCCCCGGCCTTTTGGCTGGGGGTTTTGACAATTAATGGATCGTTTCTTGGTGGAAGACTGAGATTCGATCAAGCTTTGACTAGCTTGGACTGGCTTCGGCCTGGACCTGTTAGGACAAGTTATGACCAGCTTTGACTAGGCTCTGACCAGCTTGGACAAGCTCTGACCAATATTTTGACCAGTGGCCTATGAGTGGAAACACTCGGGTCTCCCACGTTAATCGACCTTGTGTCATATCTTGATTTAGTGGGAATCAAGTAAATACCATTCTTCCACTCTTCAATCAATCTGAGATGTTGTCACCCTCTGCCGATAAAGCTGAATGCTTTGCACGTAATTTCTCCTCCTACTCCACACTTGACTCATCTGGAATATCTCTGCGTAACTTCCCAATTAGACGTGATATACATATAACCCCTTCCGTGCTATCATCTCTAACCTAGATCCTCAAAAAGAATGTAGACTCGATGGTACCCCTGTAATAATCATTAAGAAGTGTGTTCTGGAACTGGTTCCTGCTCTCTCTAAATTGTATAATAAATGGTTCACTTTCTTCTGCTTTTCTACCTACTGGATGCCATCATCTCTTGTTCCAGTTGTATGTGAGGTATCCGGCCTTTCCAACAATCGGCTTATTAGCCTTCCACCTCTTTTAGGGAAACTCACAGAGGCCCTAATCAATAATGAATTGGTTTATAATCTCTAATCGTTGGGCCTTTATGCTTTTCGTTTCTTCAGGTTAACTGTTGTAAAACTGACGATAATTCCGGAAAGAATCTACCATGCACTAGATAAAAACAGTGAAGCCCGGGCTTCAGATCTCCAAAATCTGAAAAGTTACGTTCTCCGGACACTTTTTTTAACTGATCCAGTCGTTACTAGCAAATTTGAAATGAAAGTTATCCTGAACGGCCACTCGTCTAGATGCTTTCGTACTAACGCAGGTGTACCCCCCGCCCCAGGGCTGAATCCTTCATCCTACTCTGCTTTTAATTGCCATTAATGACCTTCTCGATCAGCTTTCAACTTGGCATCTCCGCTGACGACACAACCATTTACTTCTGCATCGAGAGTAAGGCTGATCAGTCCGACGAGGTCAAGATGGCAGCTGATATCGAAAGCGACCTCAACTTCGTTGTTAATTGGGTAAAAGATCTAGCTTACATATCTATAAGACTTCGATTCGTCCATGCCTAGAATATTACTGACACATATGGTCCCGTTCCCTTGTTATTTACATTGAGCTCCTTGATAAAATCTAAAGAATAATCAGCAATGTTATTGGCTCTGATCTGGCGGCTCGGCTTTAGTCACTTTCCCAGCACCGTAAGGTTGCCTCTCTGTGTCTTTTCTATGAATACTTCCATGGTTATTCTTCGGATGAGCTCTTCGTTATAGTGCCTAGAATTTCAGTGCAATACTAGACTGGCGTCGAGATCTCATCAATTTACACTTCGGCTTGCTAGATGCAGCCGTAAGTTTTATGCTGACAGCTTCTTTTTCTTGTCCTTCTCACTCATTATTAATGTTTCTGTTTCCAATTCTTGCACACCCTGTAATCCCTTGTACTTTAGTGGATTGCTTGTGGGTGATGCCGATTTATAAACAAAACAAAAAAATATCAAGCATCAAAACTCACAGCAGAAGAAATGTCCTGGTCTCAAAAACAAAACTTTTGAATTACATTTCAACCCTGATCACACTTATTACTAATGATCTCCCGTCCGTTGCACTTACATAACATCACTGACTGGACATTGGTGATAAAAGAAGAAGAAGAAGAAGAAGAAGGAAAAGTGACAAGAAAGGCTGCGTTCAGGGTAGATTCAGTTGTTACTCACTGACCTTTATAAACAACACGTTTGATGATTAATTAAGATGTGCACATAGTCCGAAAGCTTCAGCCAACACACACCCACACAAACAAACTCTGTTAAGATCTATCTATTCAAGTAGGTAATGCATTATTTTATGACTATGAAATAACTTTTATGGTAATGAAAACAACGTTGGAATTATATTTAATAATTACTTGTTATCGTTTCTTGTATGAAACTTTAAGTAACAGTTAGCCTCATAAGCTTCACATTCTTCTACGCCCTCCTATATTCATAACACACACAACATTCACTAACGCTCTACATTGATTAACTCGAGTCTTGTATTGGGTGAATTTTAGCATATATAAATAATAAAACAAACAAAAGAAAAACGCATAAGAAAACTGAATGGAATCGGCTAGTCTATAGACCCAGATACATCTGAAAATAATAATTAAACGCATCTATGGAAAGAAAAAGAGACCTCATAAAAAAACAACTTAACTAATGCACGTTATACATAGAAATACATTCAACCATAATTTTGAATTTAAAAATGCTACACTCATAAAAAAAGAAAATAACTCACTCAGAAGGAAAATCGTCGAGAGTGCCGCCATTGAATATTACCCAAACATTAATCTACGCCCAGATTTTTTCCCTATTTCACCTGTCTTAACAAAATTACTACTCTCCCAAACAAACATACAGAACAGTATCAAGAAATCAAAAGAAAATGATTGAATCCGTCAACACAACAAGAAAAACAATATTTCCACACGTAACAATACTTGATGTAATTTTCAGTTGACAATATGAATATAATAGCGTTTTCTAAAATCTTCAAGTTGCTAAGGACATTTTGTTTTGTTATGGATAGTTACTTTGTTGTAATAAATTCATTTCGATTTTGCACTGAAAAAGTACACATTGGATGAAATGCGTCGGCTAATATTTTCCTATTGTCTTTTACATTTATAAATATTATCTTTTTCTACAGGTTAACTCTGAGAAACTTTTTCATATATATATATATATATATATATATATATATATATATATATATATATATATATATATATATATATATATATATATATAAATTAATATAAATATCGCCCATTGAGTGCTGCTGTTAATTAAATATTAAAAATGTATAATAACTGAGCTATACGGATATGCAATGTGATAGGTCCTGACCTGGCATCTCGACTGCAGTCACTTTCTCACAGACGTGATCTGGCTTCCCTCTGTCTTTTGTACAAATATTTCCGTGGCAACTTCTCCAACGTACTAATTTCACTGGTACCCCAACTGCAGGAATTTAAGCGTGCTTCTAGGTTGGCATCTCGGTCTCACCATTTCACTGTCGAAACAGTTAAATCTAACCGCCTCTTCTGCTCCAACTGCTTCTTCTCCCGCACTTCCCGACTGTGGAGCTCCCTTCATCTTACTTGATTCCCTGATTGTTATAATTTTCAAATATTCCAATGTAATGCCAATCGACATCTTCTGATGCTTTGATCTTGATACCAGTCCTTCTCTTTATCCTTTCCCCAAACACCTCTTTACACTTACTCTCACTCTCTGTAAGCCCTTGCGTGTAAGTCGCACTTCCGCCTTGCTTGGGGCGAAATGTATATACATTTTTCCTTAGCGGGAGCACATCCCCGAGTTTCATGTGCAACGTAATCGTTAGCTACTGACTGATAACTTTCATTCAGCAGCTGACTATTCCGTTGTGCTACTCGTGAGGAAAAATTTTATATTATATACAGGGTATCCCCCCCCAAATTGACTTCAATTTAAAAGCAATTATCTTGAAAACTACTAAGTCTAGGTCAATGAATTTGGTGTTGAATAGCGTAAGTTTATTCTGGGACCGATTTCGTAAGTGTTCAATATGTGCACCGCCAGTGACACGGCACACGTCAAGTCGGTAGTTAAGCTCTTGCCAAACACGCTGTAGCAGGTCCCCGGTAACATTATTCTGTGCGGAAGTGATTCTCTGCCTGAGTTCATCAATGTTAGCAGAAGAGGGGGGCCAAGGACTAGTCCCTTCACATATCCCCATAAAAGGAAATCACACGGGGATAATTCCGGTGACCGCGGCGGCCATTTCATTAGAAAACTGTGTTCTTCTCCACCACACCCGATTAATCTCTCTGGCAGATTCTCATTGAGATAAGCACGTAGTGTCCTCTTCCATTAAATATAAAATCTTGATGTGTTTCTATACATTCTGTGAAAATTTGAGGTTATTTCGACAAGAATTGCCAAAATTATTGACCTGCAAAATGATGTCCAATATTTTGGGACACTATATATATATATATATATATATATATATATATATATATATATATAATATGAGAAAGAGAGAGAGGAAACGAAAGCAAGAGAGAAACAGAGAAAACGAAAGCAAGAGGGAGTGAGAGAGAGAGAGAGAGAGAGAGAGACCGAGAGCGGAAGCAAGAGAGAGCCAGACAGACATCGAATGCCCCGACGAGAGATCCGCATTTCATAAGGAATAATTGAGTTTTGTCTTGCTGTAGGAACTTCCATGGCCGGGCCGAAGTAGAAAGCACGCCTGATTAAAAGGCAGT